TACAGATCGATGTGCTCGTCCGAATCGGTCGTGCCGTTACGATGTGGAGAGGCTTCCACCCGAAAGGGAGAGGTGTTTCCATGATGCCGTCCACAAAAGGATGACGGCGGAAGGTCGCCTGACTTCCCGTGACGTGGGCAGGAGCGTTGCTGATGTCATGTGCCGACCTGTTCGTCGGTACGTGAGACCGATGTGTGGCAGGCCTCGAAGTCGGTGCCCTAGTCTCTATTGGCGGTTGAGAAACCGAGTGCCCTTCCTCCTCGTGCAGGTTACTCTGTTGAGGGGGTTGATAAGAGGGACGCCGAGGGAGTTGAGTGCGAATGCGCTCGTTCTCAGCGCGTAGCGCCGCTAGGTCAACCTCATTAGCGGTACGCATCGCTGCTAGGTCAGTTTCGTGCTTGGCATGCATGCTTTGCAGATCAGCGGTGTGTTGCTGCAGCATCTGCTCGACCTGCTCGATCAGCCTTCTCAATACTGCTTCGTTGTCCATGCTAGTTGCGTGATCTAAGTCGTTTTGTTGCGTGTCTTCTATAGCTTCTGGTGAAAACCATAAGCGTGGCCGATAAGAGCTGTCTTGATCGGCCCCACAGTGGGTGCCAAATGTTCTTACCGGGGATCCGATGTAGAGGTGGTCCGCTGGGTAAGATCGGTGAGCCTCCTTCACTGGTACGTTTGATGCTCCAAGATGGGGGTGGTACCTGCAAAAGAGACTTCGATGCCAAAGTTAGGGTTTGTGGGAGTATGAGTCTCGTATAAGTAATGCACGTACCTTAGTGTGAATTAGGGTTTCGTTGGGCCTTGGGCCCGAGATCAGTTATAACCTATTTGAATACCGAGCTGACGTCGCTCAGCGCGTGTCCGAGGTCACTTTTGCACTACGATGCCGAGTTCGAGCTCGGCATGACGGTACAGATAGTACATGAATGATAATATATGATGATATTTAAAGTTATTTATACATGAGAATTGATGAAAGTTGATAAAGTTGTATAAGTTGCACGCTGCTAAAATAATTTAAGTTGTTAAGTTGTAAATATATGGGTTAGATACATGCCTTAACTATGATACATAAAAAATAGAGGGGAGTAAAGTTGTTTTTAAAATTTGAATATCTCACTGTGTGGATATACGTTGCAATGCTCCAAGAGCCCGATTGAAACCCTTCAGTAAGTAAGTTTGTTTTTGAATAAGTAAATTATTTTCAGTTGTCCCTTCTATGTTTTATGAGCTTCTCATTACATATAAGCATGGGATTTAACCCTATTACATGGTATCCTTAGGCTAGTCATATGTTGTATTGTTTTCTACTGCATAGTTATAAAACTATAATAAGTATAATGATCTATCATATTATTACATATTTGACCAATTTATAGTTAATTTGGCTAAAATAAATTTGTTTGATATTATAAATTTTCACATATTAATTGAAGTAATGTATAGCTTATAAATTCTTAATTTTTTTATCCTCATTAATTTAATTAAAACACTTTTTTTTAATTTAAAAATTATTTTACCTACATATTATTTTCTTACTTTCATTATTAAATAAATAAATATATTATTTTACATTAATCAATTAGTTAATTTTATTTAACATTTTTAATTTAATAAAAAATTTATTAACTTTTAACCTCTCAATCTTTAATTTATAGTTTATAAGCTTTGAATCGTTTTATAAAATAATTTTACTAAACACACTAAGTGATTTTTTTTTGGTAAAGAAACACACTAAGTGATTATCAATGAATATACTTGGTGGCATATTCTAAATAATAAATTGTTTTATAATGTGTTAGGCCCCGAACTACTTGAACAATAAGAATCAACGATAAATTGTTTATCTAACTAATCCTTTCCATCCACTATTTCAATTCGGTTCTCCCTCGGCGTGATGAAGGCTTGATAATTCATCTAATTAGACAGTAATTAAGGGAAGAAAAATCACCATATGTATAAATTTGATTGACAATTTATGAAGGATCCATTATTTTTAAGGCTAAATACCTATTTTGGTCCCTAATAATTTTTTTTTGTTTCAATGTAGTCCCTCATTAATTTTTGGTCTCAATTTGGTCCCAAACTAATTAATTAGTTTCAATTTAGTCTCAAATTAATTAATTGGTTTCAATGTGGGACTTCCGTTCAAATTATTTAAACGGAGTTAACTTTTGGCCACATGGATGCCACGTGGATGCATACATGGTTGCCACGTGGATGACAATTTTGTTGAAAACACCTGGACCCAGAACGGCCCGTTCTGAAACCGGAACGAGCCGTTCTGGTTGCACTTTTGGTGTGTTAATTTTGCATATAAAATATATATTATTAATTATATTTTAATTATGTTGTTATATCTAATAAAATAAATACATTAATATTTTTTATATATTTTATTTTATTATGTTTATCTTATTCCTCTAATTTTAAATAAATTGCAAAAAATTATAAAGTGATACTTAAATATTTCTTCAAACAGAAAGAGAAAAAGAAAAAATTATTACTCTATTTATAAGACAATTGTATTTTATAAAAATAAGTAATGTTAAAATTTTTACCATAAAAAAATATTTTTTAAAATTATTATATTTTTTAATAAAATTAATAAAGAATATTGGTTTAATTGCATTTTTTATCCCTCAAGTATTACAATTGTGCAGTTTTGATCCACAAGATTTTAATTGGGTAATTTTAGTCCTTAAAGAATTGCAATTCGCGATTTTGGTCCTTCAATTTTTAATTGAACAATTTTAGTCCCTCGAATATCATAATAGTACGATTTTAGTTTCTCCCATTAAAAATTAATAATAAATATATATCATTTGATACATTAAAAAAATTATAATATACGGTAATTTAAATAAGCAAACAATTATATAGTTTTAAACGACGCATTAGATGATTGAGATGCATTTATTGCATGATTAGTAATATGATGAAGTGTGGTGTTTGACTTCATGTTTGATGAATGAATGATTGATTGAGATGAAAGGTTCCTTAGGGACAGGATTTGGGATGTATGTGTAGTATAGATTTTTATTCTGTACTTGTAATCTTGATTTTTTTGAGTTCTAGCTTACCCTTTTGTTTCCATGTGGTGGAACTGCGATGATCATACTTGGTATGAGAGCAGGTCAGGAATAGCTTGGAGTAGAGGTGATCGTTGCGAGACGAGGAGCTGAGTCTCGTGTTTTGAGTTACCATTCTGGGTAACAATTTCTTTTTTTGTTAGTGCTTGACCGGCACTAAGGAATATTTTGGGATGACTGTACATATATGGTACTATATTATATATACAGAAACTTAATTATTTTGATCTTTATATTTATGCCTGTATGTATGTGTTATCCAGTTTAATATTCTCTTAGTTAACTAGTTGTATTGCAATTCCATTAAGTGTAGAGACCGTGACGGGTCGTTACAAAAATAAATACCGATAAAATAAGAAACATAAAAATCATTCTATTTTTATATAAAAAAATATCTATAAAAAATAAGAAAATTTATTATATTTATTGATTTGCGTAAAATAACGTTAGATGATTATTATAAAAGAACGAAAATAATATTTAATTAATAATCTATGAAAAATATGTTATAAAAAAATAAAAGCTATGACTTTGATATCTGTTAATTTAATAATATTTTGTTTGTATTCATAACTAGTCTTTTAGCATGTGCAATGTATAAGTTAAATATTTGTTATATATATTTAAAATTTATAAAAAAATATTATATATACAAATAAATATTATGTTCAGATATATAAATTATATTTAAAATTTATATGAATAGATATTTTTAAATATATAAATTATATTTAAGATTTATGATAAATAATTTATATTGTAACACAATATTATTTTTATTTATTAATCATTTATTTTAAAAATGTTAAATTTTAATTTATAAATAATAATAATAAATAAAAATTAAATTAGATAAGAAATTAAAAAAAATTAAAAACTCTCTCATAAGAAAAATCTTAAAAACATTGTCATATAAAATATAAATTCATGTTTAATATATAAAAATTAATTATTTTTTTCAGATCAAAATTAACATTAATAGACAAAAATTATTTACTTTTCACTTTCGCAAACAGCCCAATCGAAATTGGGCCTAACATTCAATTTAAGCTTCTATAAGTCTAAGCAATGTCCATTTTTATCCTTATCCATTTTCGTGCTTCGAGCAACAATGAACAAAATTATTGACATTTAACTTGGGGGTCTAGGGTTTAGTTTTTAGAAAGTATAAAATAACTAAAGATATATTTGGTCTTCGTTTTACCAATACTTTTCTTTCGTATATGAATATTTTTCATATAATATTTTAAATTCAAAATTAATAATTAAAAATTAATCTCTATTTATGGAGCATAATTTTCATGTCAATCATTATTTAATATCTTGTCTTTTCATTTATTTCTTTCATAAAGAATACGTGCAAATAATGCTCAGAGCTCTTCTTTCATGATAAAGCATTTCTTTGCCTAGGGTTTTGAGTTTTTTAAAACATATATTAAAGAAAAAGACATAGCTAATGGATGTCATGAGTAGCTACATTCATGCCTAGGTTGTTCTATTGATGTACTTAAAAATAACGAAAATTGTATTCAACATCAAGAGACTGCAGTCTGGGATTCTAATTTCTGTTCATTTTCCACATTGAGTTGGCATGTCTCTTCCCGAATCCTATGTCAGTTTAAAAAAAAAAACTGTCAAAACATGAAGGTAGCATATTCCGTGACAATAATTTTGTTTTTTGTTTGTTAATTTACAGAAATGATTTACTTATGCAATTTGAAAGTTAAAGTTACTATTTGTTTTAGTTTTTCTAGTTTAGTTTCTTGTAGTCTGATCAAACCTCAGGAATGTCTTTTTCTGCATCGATTTCTTCTTGTGGTATCTGCTCCTCTTTGGTATATGTCATTATTAATTCAGCTTCAGGCTGTATCTCTTTTTGACAATTCTCATTAACTGCATCGTTTCCAACTGACATTGTAGTAGGCAATGATTGTAGGTCTTCATCTTCAAGCACACCTATCAATATAGATATGAAATGTTGAAAACAATAATTTACACAGCTGTTTATGTTACACTTGTAATACATCTATATGTTGTGTTAATTAGAAAGGTACTATTGCTGCAAGAAGCTTCTTTATGGGGCCATATAATTACTATTTATGTATTATAATCCACCTATAGAGGCATGTGGATTCAAGAATTTTTATATCATCTAATTCATGTTGTTATTTTTCTTTTGGGGGCATGAATATATGCATTGCGTTTGTGTTTAGCTTTTGGTTTTGAATTCTAAAATTTCAAAACTTAATTACCTTTAGTTTCTAATTTTTGCATCACAATGTCAGTAGGCTGTTTGACATTTGTGGCTTCCTGTAATGTGATTTCACTTGCATCCTTATTCTCTAAATTCTCTATGAAGTGTGGTTCTACTGTCTTCTCTTTATCAACATGATGACTTAATTTTGTACCGCATTCTGCTATCACATGTTCTCTTGATTGGTTGTCTGCATGTTCTTCTTTTACTATGCTCATGTTGGCCTTGGTTTCAGGTTGACCAGGTTCCTGATTGAATATATACAATAGAAGAATGAAATTTGTTAGACAAATTCAGATCATAAATGATTTTTTTTTCACAGAACACGAATATATTTGTAATATTTACTTGTTTATATTACAACTACCTTACCTCAACAACAGTGGACATTCTGTCAAGTTTATTTTCTGGTCTGCAACTCTTGTCATTATCAATTGCTTCTGATTCATCATTGTCTAGTTTTTGTTACTGTGAGAGTTGGTCTGTTTCATGATGGAAAGCTGCAAGAATTGGAAATTTTGGCTGGACTTCTTCCTTTGGTAGACCTGTCATGATAGATATGAAATGTATGTATTTCTTTCTTCTGTGATTCTTATATACAACTTGTTGGGAAAACCTCAAATTTCTATCATACTACCATGCCATTTTACTACTAAGGACAAAACTATTTTAGCAATTCTTAATATTTTTTTTAAGGTATGGTATTTTTCTTACTGTAAGTCATTTGTTTCCATTAAAATCTGTGAGTGTCAAATGCCATTTCTCTGCAATAATTTGTTAGCTTTATGATATTTCATAAAAGAACTTTCAAAATAGACACCTAAACTTTCCTGGTACAAAATGAAAATGACTATCAAGTAAAAACTTCATCAATTTGGAGCACATACTCTCTGTTGCAGTGTTTGTTAATTGTGCATTTGTTGGGTCTTCAATCCATTTTGCTTCCTCATGATCGAATTTCCCATCATCCCCAATCACTAGTTTCACCTTGGCATCAGATTCTGGAACTTCTTCTTGTTCCTTTGTATCATTAGTGGGGTTTATTTCTGCGGTCAATTCCTCTAAATGCTGTGTCTTAGTGAATGACATCTCCTTTTTCTATGCAGTAAGCTGGGATTCTGATTTCTGTTCATTTCCCTCATTGAGATCGTCTCTTCCTGTACCAAATATGTTGGTTTCAACAAAATAGTCAGAGCTTAAAGTGATTCTGAATTGTGTAGCACTAAAATGTATTTTTATTTTTATATTGTGTGCGAATGTCATATCATTTACTGTGCAATTGTGAAATAAGAGGTATTATTTATTTTATATTTTCTAGTTTAGTTTGTTTTAAACTACTCAAACATCAGGAATCTCCTTTTTGACAACAAATTTATATTGTAGTAGTGTCTGCACCTCTTTGGATGTCACTTTCAATTCAGCTACTGGTTGTATCTCTTTTTGACTATTCTCATCAACTGCTTCATTTTTGACTGACACTGCAGTGGACAATGATTGATGGGCTTCTTCTTCAGGCACACCTATCAATATAGATATGAAGTATTGAAAGGAATCATTTACATAGGCAGAATGTTACTGTTATAATACATCTATATGTTCTCTGAAAATTATAAAGGTCCTAGTGCTACAAGAAGCTTCTTTATGGGCCTCACATAATTACTATTTATGTCTCATCATCCACATAGAGAAGCGACTTAGTTATTGTGTAATCTAATGACACCAATTTTTATTTTTATTTTTATGTCTGTGAATACTGTATTGAGATCAGTTAAAAATAACTGATATCTTGGGTTAGTTTTCTGTTTCTTAATCAGGTGGGTTAGACCTCTGTTATGTTGTAATCAATTAAGTTAACATTCAGTTAGGTTAGTTTTTTGTTGTAATAACATCCCAATATATATACATAGGGTGTAACAGAAATATATGATGAATAACAGAATAACATTTTCCAAATCTGTTTGCAATTCTTTCTCTCTCTCTACTCTAACAATGTCTGTTAATGAATTATTCATACATCTAAATTCATGTGATTATTATTCTTTTCAGTACATGAATATGTGCATTATGTTTTTTTCTTGCTTTTGGTTTTCGACTTCAATTCGATGCTGAAATTTCAAAACTTAATTACCTTTGGTTTCTGACTTTTGTATCTCCACATCTGTCAACTGTTTTGCATCTGTTGCTTCCTCTAATGTGATTTCAATTGCATCCTTGTTGTCTAAATTCTCTACGGAGTGTGATTCTACCGTCTCCTTTTCATTCACATCATAACTTAATTCTGTATTACTTTCTGCTGTCACATGTCCTTCTGTTTGGGTGTTTGCTTGTTCTTCTTTTACAATGTTGAAGATAGCCTCTGTTTCAGGTTTATCAGGTTCCTGATTTGATATATTTACAACATAAGAATTTACTAGCAAGTGCTGCAAGGACTTATTTGAACTACGAAGACAAAATCAAGTGCTGCAAGGACCCTGTTTGGAAATCAAAACCAGCTTGGAACTCCTTTACAACAAATTCATTCCACTGTTGAAAAAGGTAAATTCAGTTTTATTTGGAAGTGTTTAATGACTATATCTTAATTCCTCTGTGTTTTGCATTTCTAGTGCTAGGAATGAAATAGAACTGTTGAAATGTTTATGCAATCATATAAATTGAACAACTGCTTGAAAAAAGAAATCCTCACAGAAATTGGAAACTTGTATTGTAGTTTTGGGGTACCATCCCAAATCTGCTCAACTTACTAACTAGTAACTACCCACACTAGTCAATTTTGTAGCACACTATTTTAATGATTCAGTTTTATTCCATGTACTGCTTTGTTGATGAAAATACTAACTTCTTTGTGTTTTACCTCTGAAAAGCCTTTCATATGTTGTTTGTGACCAGATTATAAGGTATTTAGGACTGACCAAAAAATATTGGCCACATTTCTTTTTAATTCCAGTGGCTCCTGCCTTCTTTCATCATCACATTAAATGTGATAGTGGATGTTAATCTTGCTGGATGTATTTTGGCAATGTTTGAACAGATTTAATGCATGTCTGGTGATGTCTAGAATTTTATTTTGGAGAAGCTTATTTTGATTTTTCTTTTGATTCTTTTCTCTTAAAAACGCTCTTGGAGAAGTTTATGCACACATACTCTATATATGTGTTATATGTACCTCTTGTATCAAACACAATCTTTTGGACAGTGGCATAGATCAAAACAGTTAGCTTGTCACGGTTCCCTGAAGCAAGCAATTCAGCAGCCGTGTGGTGGCAGCCGAATCTGTCAAAAATGGTTCCACCAACCTTTGTTCCATAGACATGATCATAGGTGAAGCCAAATTCAACTTTGTTTCCATCCCACCCCACCTTCTTTATAAACCTGCATTCCAACATAACACATTTGAGACGAAGATAAATGTGCTTAGAGAGCATTGTTAGACAACATAATTAATATTTAGAAAATATTCCTCTTATACATAATTATTAGAGATCAATTACCATCTTAATGGGATCCACAATCTTAATGGGATTCACAATCATAGGCTAAGACTCCTCTTGTACTGATGTATATATTGATACTACCATATCAATGAAAGCAGGCATAATTGCTTACATGGTATCAGTAGTCACTTTCTGATCCTTGAAAACCCTACATGCCCTCACAAGACAGCGCCTCTCTCCTCATTCTTTTCTCCTTTTTTTTTTATTCCATCTCCTTTTCTCCCTCACATCAATGGCCGACCAAACCAAATTTCACCCCGCACTTGCTGTCAACAACGTTAAGAATTTCATTCCTATCACTTTAGAAATGGAAAAGGGTCATTATTCTTCATGGGCAGAGTTGTTCAAAATCCATTGCCGAGCATACCAAGTCATCGATCACATTCTCCCACCTACACCAACATCAACTGACACGGCAACGGAAAAAGTTGCCGAAGTTGATCCAGCACTTTGGTCTCGCTTGGATGCTATCGTCCTTCAATGGATCTACGGCACCATCTCCAATGATCTTTTACACACCATCTTACAACCCGATTCGACTGCACAACAAGCATGGGAACGATTACAAAATATCTTCCTGGACAACAAAAACTCACGCGCTGTCTACCTGGAGAATCAATTCACTCACGTTCATATGGACGACTATCCCAACATCTCGGCATACTGCCAAGAACTCAAAATGCTTGCTGATCAACTATCTAACGTTGGTGCACCAATCTCAAATCAAAGGCTAGTTCTTCAATTAATTGCGGGTTTAAATGAGAACTATG